AGGCCCCCTACCACAAGGAGACTTATGAAAAGCTTTAGCATCGTCTTAGTAGCACATGTTAGCAGACTATGAACTTCAGAGTCCTCAGACTGAAAACAGTTTACCATGATGATGCATTTACTAACCTTCAGTGCCTCCAGTCCTGCTTGAATCACAGGTGCAAACACAGTTTCTGTTTCTCTTGTGTCTGCAAACATTTCTGGAATCTGCTCCAGTAAACTAGCAAAGAACAAGAAAAAGGAGGAATTCAAGATTCCATTTAGTTGGAAAAGCCACAGTTGCAGTTGATGACCTATGAGACTGAGATGGTTTAAGTAGAAGTCCCTAACATGTCTTGTAAATTAGCATCACTTTTACAGTATTTGGCATCTCGTTGTTTATCTGCGAAAAAAGTGTCTGTCATTCTTCATTGGCTTCTCTCATCCAAATTCTCAGTGCTTGCTGTATAGCCTCAACTGATGCCTACTCAAATAGCTCTTCTGTAGTCCTGCTCTTTTAATATATTCCAGTATATATTGGTACATAAACTCTTAGGAAAGCCTAGCGACACTTGGCCTCTGTTTGCTAAACATCCTGTGTACTATTCAAAGATTAATAGTGTTAATCCATAGGCTTTTTATTTATGCTTGTTAATGCACTACAAAACAGACTAGAAATTTTCTTTAAAACATGCAGTGGCAGATCTAGTTTCCCAAACATAGTTAGCTACACACCATAGTTTAATTACAGTTTAAGCATCATGTTAAACAGTTTGCCAAAACTTTGCTAATTTCTCTTTCTTCCCTCTAGATTTTATCTTCTGCACCTCTCATTCAATTTTCTCCACAGAACCAAAATTAGACACCATTGTTGTCTCAGTTTACAGTTATTTAGGCAGTTGCCTTAAAGAAAGTGATTCAGTATTCTTACTGCTTTCACCCTGTATCATTTTAGTTGTATTTTGTTCCCCCCCTACCCTGAAACGCCCTTCAGCACTAAATCCCCTTATACACACCCCCTGCCAAGTTGGATTATGAAAAATACACCCCTACCCCATGAATTTTTCCATCCTACTTTGCGAGCTTAATCTCAAAGAGTATAAGAAGTTAAAATACATGGAATGACTTCTAGCTGAATAACATGACAAATAAGCAGTGAATGTAACACTTGTAAAAGCAACATTTGAGACTACCAAACCAGACATTTACTACACACATTGTAAACCAAATTTTGTTACCTGGCAATAACTGTCCTGGACTCATTCACATTCACCAGGAAACCATCAAGGAGTGGCACAAACATATCTGCCACGTCTGAGACAACCATCATTTGTGGCTGTGCCAGTGAGCTCTTCACGTTATAGAAGTGTAACACTTTGTTGTAGGTGACGAAGCCTACTCGAATGGCTGATTCCTCCATGTTGCCTTCCCTGTAAGAGACACACTTGCCTTCTTCATCTAATTAGATAGTGAAATCATTACATAGAACCCAATAAAATAAGAGATAAGGGAAAAATGCAAGGAAGAAAAATTTATTTTCAGCTAGAAATGTATCCAGAAAGATGTTCTGCTTGGCCTTGTTGAATAAAAGCTTGACAGGATTATTAATTTTTTTTTTTCCTAGCTTTTTTTAAAGGGAAAAAGCGACAGTTTCTCCCATTTTGACTGGCTACGGTAGTATACAATATACCTACCTGGGCAGGTAATCTAGGAGTGACTTTAATTCCTCACATATTAGCCTCACTAAGCCACTCTTCACAGCATTGTAAGACACATCAATCATGAAAATGAAAGCCGGTGGACTGGGAAACTTGTTATTCTGTGGAAGAGGGAAGAAGACATATTACGGCCACATAATGCAGCCCACATAACAGCTCTGTAACACGGACAAATGAATGGTGATCAAAACTCTAATAGCTTTTCATATACTTTTCTCCTTATGAGCAGTAATAGTTTCTTCAGATCATTCTCCCATCCCTGCCCAAGTAACAGATATCTAAGCATACTGTGCTTGTAATGGACCAGTATTACATGCCCTAGACTGATTTTGCCATAGCTCAGTGAAGAACAGGTTAGTAACAACTAAATCATTCATTTACATGACTAGGCCAGACAGGGAGAGTAGACAGGGAAGTTTCCTGCCAGTTCTCAAGACTTAGGAATCTGACCAGATTTGTTATAAGTGATTTCATCAAAACAAGGCAAAAGATTTTCCTCTCCCTTCTACATAAATATTAGCTTTGCTTTGGGAAAGAAAAACTTGTTTCGGTCAACAGTTTTCTGAAGTCTATAGGGCATACTGGGAGAAACACATCGAACAAAAGCAAAACAGAAGAACTTTCAAAAAAGCTAGGAAGACCACATCTTGCTTGAATTAAAAATGCTTCTTATGCTGTTAGAAGCAAGGTAATTGGTTTTTCTCTTGACTCAAAGTAAAGCTGAGGCATCAGAGGGTAATCAGTGTAAAGTTGCAAAATTTAGGCATCTATTTCCCCAGCATTTATTTCAGCAGAGATGTAATTTGCTTTAATAAACATCTTGTACGTATTTTTCCTATTTCTTAGAAGTTAATTATTTAAATACTTTATTTAAAAGTGAACCAGCTCTGACAATATAGATTTCCACACTATTGTTATGCTTTTAACCACTATGGCTGTATTTGGCAATGAAGTTCAATAGGTAAAAGTTTGCCTTAGGCAACAGGTGGCACATTGCATAGTTACTATTGTACTTTTCTTGAATCTCTCCCACATTCTCGTTCTGCCCCAAGGAATACTGCAAGAGAGTCCCTCCTGCAGAACTGCTAAGTTTAATAGCAGCTACAGCTGCTTATATAGCTCTAGAAAAGAATGACACAGGCAGCCATAATAAAATTCTATTATGTCACGTGTGATCAAGACTTCCTCTACTTCAGGAAGCAAGCAGACAAGCACATTATCTGACACATATGAAGTGAGTCGGATTAATGTTATTAATTATCCCTGCCAGCTAGAAAGCAGTCCCAGACAAATCATGTCACTCTCAGGAAAACAGGCTTTTTATTTAAAAGCAAAACAAAATACAATAATAAACACATACTACTGTACCTTGCAATAGTCAACTGTTGCTAGAAACTCGTAAGACCCCAGTGATAACTCAGGTCGGTCATAGAAGTCTACTCGCTTTCCAGTGTGATCCAAATGCTGGAAGTAATGAGGTGGCACTGGGGAAGGAAAAAACTTTTAAGGTCAGTGACATGCCCATGATAAATACTGTGACTAGAGCGCTAACATGACAATAGCTCTTTCAAATAAAACTCCAGGAAAGCTAGCTAGCACTCTGTGTTTCATTTGGTAGCAGTGCTCTGTGCTAGCATACAAGTATTACTAAAAATACTCACGTAATTTGAGAGCATCATTAAAGCCTAGAAATAGACAAACTGCTTCCAGTTTGCCTCATGCACCAGGTGGCACACTGCATAGTCACTATCGTACTTTTCATGAATCTCCTTTACATTCTCATTTTACATTTCATATCAGAAATGTCACTACAACATGCTCTTAGGATTCTTCTGAAGGATTTAGTCCAAAGGAAAAACATAACAATCTGTACAAGAGGTAACAGACGACTTACAATAGAGTTAGAGGCAATCTACAGGCTACAACATTACTGTCTCAATTCAGGCTTACCAAAAGATTGAGCTCCTTATTTTGCTATATGAGTTAGCTTTTTCCTTCCCTTCCCATGCTGCACAGAGTAAAGCCTTCTAGGCACTCTTGGGTGCAGAGATTGCTATAATAATCCCTTTGTCAGAATATGGGGTACTTCTTAGAGTGGATTGTAAAGCATTAAGCAGGCATCGAAAGCGTAACCACATGCTCAATGCCCAGTACTTTTGTGTTGGTACCAGGCATCAGAAGGTTAAGCTAGGAGTTAAGCTAGATTTTCACCTACAAAAGTCAGCTTCAGAAACAAAAAAAGCATCTCCCTCGTGCCCCAGACACCACCATGACACAGCCTCTCCTGTAGAATTGCTAGGGTGACAAACTCTATTCCAGCTACAGCTGCCTATAAAATGAGATTATCTGTAATGGTAGTATTCACTACCTTTAAATTATTCTATGATTATTCTAAACACTCAAAGTTTCAACAGTTCTAAAGAAAATAGTGATATCATTAAGACTATATATATAAGCACCTATCATTCTTCTCCTCTCCAAGTACACATCCAGTACAAACTAATTACCTGACTGTTTTTGCAAAGGAAACAGAAATTGTTCTCAAGCATTCGGTACAACTACATTGTATTTTCACATATACAGTGAAATATATCATATAACAACATATCAGCAGCCTCTGAGCATCCCTCCCTTTTCTGCCCCTGCTCAGTTGTTACAGGTACAGTCATTCATATAGTTGCTGAATGAGCAGGGATAGGGAATGCATGCAGGCTGAAAAAAATCACCAGACAAAAAAGTTTTTTTTAAAATTGTGCATTTCTAATCCGTCAGCTTCCTGTAACTGCGATAAGAACAGAGTCCATTAAAAGCCATCACTGCTACCAAATGAAACACTCAAAACATCACGATATGGTTTGTTGTACCCTACATTCCACTGTGCCTTCAAAACAAACCTACAGATGTCATGTTATGAGCAGCATATAGTGACTTCTACTTAAAAGGAAGTATGTTTTATATTAATTTAGAAAAGCAAACAAGATTAACCGGCATATATTGAACACTCCTATTTAGCTGTAGCAGATTTAACTGCAATCTCATCTCTAAGGTGTTTAAACAGGCTTTGTGAGAAAAAAAAAAACCCTTCACTTATGCTACTGACTAGATTTACATCTCAGTCTGTCATAGAAACATGTTTGAAACATCCTAAGAAAACAGCATAAATAATTTTTCAAACCACCATACAATATGTTACAACTACCTCATGTTAAAAATCCATACAATAATACTGCAATGCATAAACACCTACTTAATTTGAATATAATTTCAGAACTTAGCACTGAACATGTTTTATAGTGGATTTTTTTTTACAAGACTAAACATACAGTAAAGCACAGTATACATTACAAAGATTTATTTGCTTGTTCAAAGATGACTCCAATAGAGCCAAGAGATCAATTTCCAGAAGAAACCTTACCCTCAGTGACACAGCTGCAGAAACAACACTGGAACCTCCTTCCACCCTCAATGAATTGCATAAAGGGGCACATGTAAGCCTTGCACCTATTACATCGGACGGGACCGGATTCTCCATGGTCTACCAAATAAGGAAGAGTCTGTGGAAGCAGGGGAAAAGAAAAGAAAGGTCACATGATGATAGGAAAGAAGTGACCACACATATTGCAGAGCTTAAAACTATCTCCCTGTGCATAGCATAGGATTTAGCACTTTGGCAGCTGTGGGAGAGAGTGCAGGGGGTGAGGGAAGCCTGAACAAGTATTCTGCAAATGCTTTTCAAATCAAGCTCTAGCACAGCAGTTCTTTGTGGGCTGTAGTCATTAATGGGCTATCCCACTTCGACACAAACAGGTACTTCTGCATGGTGCTGCGCTACCTTATATAGAAGCCAGCTTGAGGAGCATGAGCTCTAGCAGGAGTACCACACTGCACAGCACAGATGTATCCCAAGTGAACAAAAAAGACTGAAGCTATGCAAAGAACGGCTGTGATAACCTCATGGGAATTTCAAAAGCAACTCTTCGTCTCATATTTTTCCTTTGTAAAAAGCAAGCTTTTTGACAAAATACAAGCCAGTCATTACATTCCATATATTCAAGAACATAGAGAATCCAGACTACCTTAAAAAATTCCAGCTGATAAGACTTATTTTTGAAGTCCACCATGAAATACACTGTATCCATAAGTTCTGCTTATCTTGACCCCGTTGTATACAAGTCCTCAAAACTGTTATGTAGTGATACCATTTTTTAACTATTACTGATAATACGTTTTTTTGCAGCCAAGCCAGAATAAGATGCATGGCAAGCTCTGCAGCTTCTCAACTTCAGAACAAGCAGAAAGCACTTGAAAATGATTAAGACAGAACTCGTGCAAGCTACAAGCTGCGCTCATAGCTCAAAGCACCCTTCATAACTAAGAATCTAGCTCAAAAGAAAGTTTAACTACATTTAAATTTTCTGACACTAAAGATGTCCAGTCTTAATTCTCTCAGCCATCCTAAATCTCTGATCATGTTTAAGAGACAACATATTCTTTGAGCAGGAGCTGACCAAATGCTCCAGGCACTTTCTTCCTCTTCATGCCACGGACGCATCACATCTCTCAGTATAACATCAGTAATCACTTATTGACGATACAATGGTTTTGAAGTCAGCATTTCTCAGTTCCTACTGCCCAGGCTGACCTCCTCAGAGGACGCAAAACTTCAAGTTTTCTGACTGCCAGGCAATGTTGGTATTGTACTTCTGCACAATGAGCTTTTTTCCTCAGCCTCTCCCCCAATAACACGGAAACAAACTACAAGGGGGCTGTAAACATGCAGTGCTGCGTGTAACTTGTCACTAACCACTCGCTCCCAGCAGGCACAGATACTTCTTTCTGAAGCCTCAAGTTTTGCTTTCTGAACTGTGCATTACCATAGGGCAGAGGTGGCATATCTGGCAACCAGGTGCTGAATTTTTATATATTCTAGATTTATCTGAATGTTGTATTTTCATGAGACATCTGTCTTCTCATTACTGATATATTAAGCTTTAGCCCTATTTACAGCCTTACTGCTCTGAACAGCTGAGCCTTCAGAGCTTGGCCGCTGGAACAGCCCTCCACAGGGAGTTTGCCCTTGCCATAAAGAACTTTCCAATGCTAGAAGCTGATGAGTCTCCAGGGCAATTTTCCAAACTTAGTCATGTTTTTTCTGGATATCACAAGCATTTGTTCAAAGCATAAACACATCAGGAAACCTAACAACTAGTTGTTTGTAAAGCTTCTCTGAAAACGTGCAGCTCCACAAGCCTCCAGGTTTCTCAGAAAAGACCACATTCTCCTATTGTGCTCCTTTTAAACTCCAGCCACAATACAGCAATACAAGAATTAACTTCACAACTCAGTTTTATTACAAACCAATTTTCAAAAATGAAATTAATGAAATTTCAATTAATGAAATGCAACAGCAAAAAAACACCCTTAAAAGCCCAGAGGATACTCCCTTCCTCAGCAGATGCTAAAGTTAAGTTTAACAGGGCACGGAACACTGCAAATACATGTATTCAAATTTAACAAGCATACTTGTCTTTATGCCACTGCTCCAAGTAGGCTAACACTACACAGTAGCCAGAACATTTTACAAAATTTCTAACTCTATAATATTCTTGAAGCTTTCATCTTCTCAACAACCGGACAGAGTGGGTAAAAGGTCAGCTAGCCACACATTACACCTAGATGGAAGTAAGTGCTGCACAGAAATACAAGCGCAGCTCAGCAGTGCCCAGTACTCAGTCTTCTACTGTCATCCCACACAGTGCTGTGCATGTACATGCACATTAGACAGCTTAACCAGTGCTGCTTGATACATTCTGATCCAATTCCACAACATGACACCCTAGAAAAGACTTAACATCAGTAATTAGTAACCATTTAAACATGTTAGGCCAAGAAAGAAACTGAGATCAACTGGAAGTTGTGACCATCCTAATATTTTGGTCATTTGGTCACAATGTTTGACAGTTATTGCAAAAAAGCTGAAATTATCATGGCAATCAAAATACTAAATGTTTTAAACACAACATTCTTCTGCCTTACAGATCTCTGTCACATGCTTGTGGAAGAATCAGTGCTTATCCAGTCTTCATAACCTAAACATTCCTTCTCAACGTATCTGTTAAATGTTGACATCAAATAGCATTCTCCTGACAACTTCAGAGTGAGACAGTGCACATGTAACTCTGCATACGGTTCTCACCTCCTCTGGGGGTAGAGTAGCCAGCGGTTTTATGACAGCAGCTAGGGGAACTTGGGACTGTTTGGCCATGTCTGAGGTGCAGGGAATATTGTAAGAAGTGCATCTTATGTAGCGGGGACTTGCATTACCTGGGGAACAAAGAAAAAATCCCCACAAATTTCAGTACAAGCCAAGTTTATATTCAAGAAAGAAAGAAAAGTATCTTCTGTTGCATTGCTAAGCCAGCAACTAAGAGCTTATCTAAACAATCAATTAATTGCAATCTATGCAGAACTTGAATTCCAAACAAAATACCTCTTTAAGATTAACTACATATAATAAAAGCCCTTAACTCAAAACAGATTAATTTGACTC